CGTGCACAAGCGTGGGAGGGGTAGGCAAGTGCACACTCGCGCCTCCGCCCACCCATGCCATTTCCCTCCCTGGCTTCCCAGCAACAAAGGTTGCCAACCCCTGTTGTAACACTTCCAAGATAAATGTACTGCTTCCATGTTCACAAAGGGCCAACTCTGTATCCCTTACTACCCTTAGCTTACCAGAGCTTAACACTCACTCCTTGCCTCTTAGTCTTTGCCTCAAAATTTATTTATTTATTTATGTAGAATTCACACTTTTAGTATTTAAAATTATAGCTTTGATTGTTTCTTTTTTGTGGAGAGCTCTTGTTTACAGCATTACTGTGGGTGGGGAAATGTGGTGCTGCTATGGCTTTGCCAAAGGCCACAACATTATAGTGATTTGATTGTTGGACTAGAATTCTGGGAAACCAGATCAGATCCTCACTCAGCCATGGAAATCTAGCAAAGAATTCTAAGCAATTTACTGAAATGCAAATCCCAGGATTTCATAGAATAGAGTTATGTGTAGTGTAACCACACTCCAGAGCAGGTAGATTCTGTTTGCCATTGCTACTGATAGCCAAACTGCTCTATAGATGGCAGGTCCTGTCAGATCTTAGAAGCTAAGTAGAGTCATCTCTGGTTAGTACTTGGTTAGACTGCCAATGAATACCAGGTGCTGTAGACTATATTTCAAAAGAAGGAACTGACAAAACCAACTCTAAATATTCCTTAAATCCTATGAATTTAATGGAGTCATCATAAGTCAACATGTGACTTGAAGGCACATACATATACACAAGCTGCTCTGAGAGCCTTGAGCCAGCATGATATATGACTCTAGAAACTAGGATCCAAATTCCCACTCAGACATGGAAACTCACTGAGTGACTTTAGGCAGCTCACACTCTCTCAGTCTCAGAGGGAGACAAAGGCAAACCCCCTTTGAACAAATCTACCCAAGAAATCCCTGTGACAGCTTTGGCTTAGAGTCACCATATGACAGAAATGATCTGAAGGCATTCAACAACAGCAATGTAGCCAAGACGTTCTATACTGTTCAATAAAAAAATGATAACTATTGCAGGTTTTTCATTGTTACCACACTGGATTCCAAAAGAAAAGTAATTATATACATAATGTTGTGTAATGATAATGCCAAGTCCAAGACAAGAATGATATGCAGAGGCCTATCAGTTTCAACTAATGTACGTATACCTGGTCTGTTCTGGATTGTAGCCTGTGGCTGCAGTGCTATGCTCATTCAGTCTGTTGTTGTTGTTGTTGTTGTTGTTTCTGCTGCTGTGTGCCTTCAAGTTATTTTTGACTTATGGAGACCCTAAGGTGAACCTATCATGGGGTTTTCTTAGCAAGACTTTTTCGGAAGGAGTTTGCTTTTGCCTTTTTCTGAGGCTGAATGCATGTGACTTGCTCAAGATCACCAATGGAGTTTCCATGGCCAAGCAGGGATTCAAACCCTGGTCTCCAGAGTTAGATAGTCCAGCACTCAAACCACTATGCCATTCTGGTTCTCATTCAGTGATATGAATGTAAAACTGATTGATTTTAATGGTATTTGAGTGCATGTAAAGCTGTTTTTCTTTGGTCATTTGGTTATTTAATGAAAGTGCTCAGAAAGCTGAAGAATGTTAATTGGTAATTGTCTCTTTCCATCAAGCCAATAATGTATTGTACTCATAAGGGCAAAATGACATGAAAGTAACAGGGGTGAAATTTTGCAGTCTTTCTTGAACGAGATAACTCATTAAATTCCATGTACAAATATGCATTATCGTTGCATATTTCTCCTTGTCGCCTCTCAGCATAATAGATTACTTATTCAATGCAAACATCATTTTATACAATAATAGCAGCAGTAGCCCTTAGTAAAGAACTGAATATTTTCTCAGGAGTTTGAATACCCGTGTTAAGCGTGCTTATTGAAGTGTTGGCAGAAGACTCCCTTCACAATAAAATATGCAGTACTACGTGTGTCAGCTGTCACAAAACCCCTGGAAGAAAAACTAGAATAAATTACTGTCACTAAAGCCCTGGAAGAATTACTGGTTAGTGTTCCTCATTTCCCTGAACAATGTGAAATTCCCAAAACAGCTCGTTGTTGTTGTTGTTGTTGTTGTGTGCACCCTCAATTGTGTCTGACTTAATGGTGATCCTAAGACATGCCCATCATAGGGTTTTCTTGGCAAAATTTCTTTAGAGGAGATTTTCCACAGTACTTACTTCACTCCCACAATGACAGTATAGGGGGCCAATGGTATCCACTGGAGTTTGGTTCCAGGACCCATCATAGATAGTAAAATTCATGGATGCTCATATCCCATTAGATACAAAGACATAGTAAAATTGTGCCTCTTATATAAAATGGCAAAATTAAGGTTTGCCTCTTTTGGTGGGAGGGGAGGGAATATTTTCAACCTGTGGATGATTGAATTCATAGATGCAGAATCCATAGATATGGATGGTTGACTTTATTAATTATTTATCTATTATGAACAATGGATAATTATTTGCCTCATTCAAGAGATTTAATGTAGGGTAGTGTACATAGTTTTAACTAAACAGAAAAATAGAATTGCAAGATCCACAGGCTATACTTAAAATGCTTCAGCATTGTTTAACTACTTTCTGCGGGTATGACAACAAAGAATCTTGTGAGACTTTAAAAATTAACAAAGTTTTGTGAGTATTAACTGTTAATTGCACTCATTGGATTCATGGGATGGTGACTGAAGTGTGGTAGTTTTTTGAGGTAATGCAAGACTTTACATTGTTCATGCTGCAACCGACTTAACACTATGATTCTGTTTCTAACACAACTAGCTCCCTTCCCCAATGGAAATTCAGGTTTTGAGATACTGTAGTTTAAAATTATGTGTGATTCAGGGACAAATAGCATCCTTTGGGTGAAGTAAAATGGCAATAAAAAAAAAGACAATTTCATGATAACTGAATCAATATTATACTATTTCCTGAATGGTAGACTACAGGTATTACAATGAAAATTTCAGCTGTTTACTTTCTAATCTTTGCAAATATTGCACCCATGTTGACTCCTCCTTCTTCTCTCCACCTTTCATCCCCTCCCATCCCCTCTGATGACACAAATTGCATCAAGGGGCATTATATAAAGAAATGCTTCCAAAGGGCTTCTGTCGTTGCCTTTTAGCGACCATGGGGTTAAGGCTAACTAGCCTTTTAATACTATGGCTGGCTGTTTGCTACGCAAATCAAGTTAAACAAGGTAAGACTTTTAAAGAAGATGCTGTTCAGCTGTCTAGTGGAGAACCTAAGAAACACCCATTGGCTGCGAAAAAATGAAATACTTCCACTTGTTCAGCTTATTATAAGTACTTTTAAGATTACAAAAATTATTTCTGTGTATTGAGCACTGGATGCTCTAGTTCCCTACTTGCAATAGATACTATTCCAGGTTATTTGAATTGATATGCTAACAGTGTTAAGGTACAGAGAATTCTGTCTCAGATTATGTGGATTAGGGAGAGAAACATGTTTTATCAGATCAATGTCCTTTTTCAGAACTATAACACTAATTCTGAATTTTCCATTCAAGTTCAAATGTCATATAGAGCAGAATCTCTTTTCTTTGGAAGGAAAAGCTAAGTGGTTCTATGATTTGTGGATAGCCTGTTGAGTCTGTAGCATATTTGAGGAGGGAATTTCCATTGATTTTTTAAATATAAATAATTAGAAATTCTTAGATGAGTGATGGCAACTGGACTTAAAATAATTCAGCATTTTTAATGCCCTTTGCTATTCTGTTAGCCATAGAAATAGTAACCATAAAAGTCATGCAGTGGCTTCAATAAAAGGCAGCACATCCTGCCCAAAAGTACCAATGTTTCATGGCTTTACAGTGATGATATTGCTAGATGACTCTCTATTGACTGAAAATAGAGTAGATTTTTATAGTGTAAACTTACTTATCACTTGCGATGTTGCAATCAAAAATTATAACAACACAACCCCAACATTTCAATAGAACATTTGATACATACAGGTGACCTCTGCTCCTCCAAAAACAGAGTTATTTTCACTGAATTGCATAAGCATCATTCTTTTTCTTTGTGGTTTCATGATTGCACTTAAAGGTTACTTTGTCCTCATTCTTCATCACTACAGGAAGAAATCCTAACCACAGCCAGTATGTCTGCAGTACCTGGGGGAACAACCACTTCAAAACCTTTGACGGTGATTTTTACCAGTTTCCTGGTGTCTGTGAATACAACTTTGTTTCCGACTGCCGAGAGTCTTACAAGGAGTTCTCTGTCCATATCCAGCGTGAACTGAATGACCAAGGGCACCCTGGCATCCAATATGTCCTTATCACAGTTAAGGACATTGCAATCTATCTCACTCAAACGTTGGTTGTGGTGAATGGGCAAATGTAAGTTCTTCTGGTATTATACTTCTGAGGCACACAGCTTTAAGTACGCAGCTCATATACTAATTATTGAAGCAAAATACGCAGTGATTAGTTCAGTGGTCTGAACATTGGACTATGACTCTATAGATCAAGGTATGCTTTCCCTCTTTGCCAAGGAAACTCATTGGGTGACTCTGGGTGAGTCACATGCTCTCAGGACCAGAAAACCCCATGCCTTAGGGTTGCCATAATTCTGAAATGACTTGAAGGCACACAACAACAACAACAACAAAGCAACTATGACTAGCAAACAATATCTTATCTCCAGTATCAGAGAGAGTATCTCTCTTAGTATTAATTAGGAGGAATTTCAAGAGAGAGGATGCAGTTGTCTTCAAGTCTTGCTCATGGGCTTTCTGTAAGCAATTTTCTTACATTCTTAAAACTACAGACTTCCACCAGCCAAAACAAATGTGAGAGACTTGTGTGGTAACTCAAATAATACTTTCAGGCCATCTTGGGTAGTGTTACCACTGAAATTTTGTCTTAAACAAAGTTCAAAGCTAATTTGGAGTTTATTGGGTGAAGCTTCTGGGGACTTCAAGTGGGGTAAGGAAAGGGTAAGTTTAGCAGCAAGGTGTTTTGCATATTCCTAGATTGTCACCAGCTTCCAATTAAAACAAAACTTGAAGTAAATTTGTGCATTCGCATTAAGGCAAAACACTTGGGAAATTTCAATAGATGCCAAAAGAGTTCTGCTTAATATCTCAGAGGGATTTTGTGCATCCTGTCTCCCACTACTGATGACATGGTTTCCCAAAAACATTATTAAACCAGAATATAACAACTTCATAGCAGTCTCTCTCCCTGTTGGAAAACAAGATAATGCTATTGTAATTGTAATTTCCTTAATATTACTAGTAATGGGCACTGTGTTGCAATCCCATTCTGCACTGTAGACTAAAGTTATAAAGCACTACTTTTAAAAATAGAAAGGATTATTCAACAAGTTACAATACTAGAAAAACAATATAATACACAATTTTATAATATACAGGATAGTTAAATTAGTAATAAATAGCAATTTCCATAGTGTCTGGCTGGCATTTTTCATCCTTTTCAACTACTAACAGTTTATACAGGGTAACCTCCTTCTTTCTGTCTTTCTGTTTTAATTTAATGGTTTCATTTTGTTTATCCTCACAAGAGTTCTGTGAATGTAATCCTACTATGTAGATGGGAAACAGAGGGTAAGCAATAGTGGTTCATTCAATGTCATTCAAGTGAGTCCATAGCTATGCTAGGACTTTTATGCAGATCTGTTAGATCCAGACTCACCAGTAGATCACTCTGATTCACTATCGGTGCATTAGGATATCCTAGTCATTACCCTCAATCTCTCTCTTATGGCTTCCTTCTGTTTCATTGAACATACAGACTATATGCTTGGGCCCTGTGAGGAGGTTTTTCTTATACTTGGATGATCACCATAAGGGGTGTCTCCTTGCTTATTCTGGGTATAAAACAGGAAAGCGCAAATGTCATCACAGTTCTCTAACTGTGCTTATGCCTCAGGAAAAAGACCCACACAGCCAGTGCATGGGCTAATTTTGGGTATGTAAATGTTACATTGCAGGATTAATGCAGCTTGACAGCACTTTAACTGCCTTGACAGCACTTTCTTTGGACTCCATGACTCAATGATATGGAATTCTGGGATTTATAGTTTTGTGAGCTATGTAGCCTTCTCTGTTAGAGGTCTCTAGTACCACAACAAACTACAAATCCCAAGATTCCATAGGATGGAGCCATGACAGTTAAAGTGATGTCATACTGCATTAATTTTTCAGTGTAGCAGCAGTCTTAGCTGTTTTGCATTTCTTATGCATAGTGAGATACATCATGACAGCCTTATTCCTCCTGGAGTAGTAATTGCAGTGTGGAGGACTTTCCAGATTATGGAATTTAAAATCCATGCCAAATGTTGTGTAATTGGAGTAAGGCAATAGATTCCTTCTCATGTTGAGTGTTAAACACTTTATCTTTCCTGCATTCTAACCTGTGCCACTGCTTTTAGACTATCATTTCATTCTGCAGCAAAGTTTCAGAAAAAGAGGAAACTAGC